TTATCACTACTATCACTACGTTCAAATAGAAAAAAGCGGACTACATTTCCCATAATGCCATACGTGGGCAGACGTCACACATATATATAAAAAATAACAGTTTATCACTACGTTCAAATAGAAAAAAGCGGACTACATTTCCCATAATGCCATACGTGGGCACGTTCGTTTGACGTCACACGCATCTCGCCAGGTACAGAAGTCCATCGTGCAAAATGAAAACAACTGTTGCATAAACTTCATTCATTACGCGGAAGCTGGTCCCATATGCAAACGGATTCACATTTTGGGTAACATAACTCTGGACTTTATTTCACGCTTTGTTTGGGTTTTTTCTCGCTGTCGCATTGCAAAAACAACGAAGTAAAGCGAGAGGTTGCTAAATCACATTTCTAATACTTTTAATAGATGTAGATTTTTAGTAGTCCGACTGTCATCTGCTAATGCAATGTAAGAAAAAGATGGGTTTTAACATGCAAATGACCTTTTAATGGTTTTTAATGTGCATTTTTAGAAGGATCATGGCAGAGAAACCTCAGCTGGTCAATAATTCACCAGAGGACGTTGAGACTGATGAGTGCATGAGCACATACACACATGTCTACAGCCCTGATCTTCTCATGTAAGCACAATAAACACTGAAGTTTTCTTTTTTTTCTTGCATTTGAAATCCATGCATTGTTAAATATGCATATATACATACATAGACACAGAGACTTGTTTTTGTGTGTTTGCAGTGATCAGGTGGCCTTTATAACCGGTGGAGGATCAGGTATTGGCTTTCGAATAGCAGAAGTTCTGATGAGGTGAGTTGTCAGTGTTTTTTTTCCACTGTAGTTTCTCGCTGTCAACACTTTGTCCATGACTGAACCTCTCAGTTTGACGTTTTCAGTCACAATTGCCTTTTATAGTGACGCACACAATGATCTTTAACCTTTGGTAACATGTGGTCTTCTCAAGCCTGCATCTTCAAATTAATTTCAATATGTTTATAATCTTGCAAAAATAGTTTGAAGCTTTTTTGTTGTTGTTGTTTTTTGTTCAGGCATGGTTGTGACACGGTCATTGCCAGCAGAAATCTGGAGAAACTCGCTGAGGTACTGTTTCTACAAATCTCCAATAACTCACTCGTGACATTACTTTGATGAAGAGTCATTCATCTTATTGTGTGTGTTAGGCTGCAAAAAAGTTAACCAGCACTACAGGCAGACGGTGTTTGGCGATTGCCATGGACGTGCGTCAACCAGAGACGATTTCTGCTGCGATGGATGAAGCCTTGAAGACATTTGGACGTGTTGACATACTTATTAACAGTAAGGCTTAAGTTGGTCAAAGGCTTAAGGAGGTCTTAACCTGTAATAAAATCATATCTTTTCCAAAACATGCAGTGTATTACCAAAGAGATCTTGATTCTGTAGATATAATGATGTCAAAGATCAACTAACACCCTCTTATCATGTTTCTTTTGATCATTCTCTAATGTGTGATTATACATTATGCAAACACATGTACTTATGCAAATAATTCGACATGTTTGTGGTTTACGATTTTTATTTCACAGATGCTGCAGGTAATTTCTTGTGTCCAGCTACATCATTGTCATTTAACGCTTTCAAGACCGTAATGGAGATTGACACCATGGGAACTTTCAACACCAGTAAAGTCATCTATGACAAATGGTTCAAGGTGAAAATATACATTTCAAGAGTTTTTATTAACTAAATATCTCAGTTCTTGGCTTTTTTTTGTCACATGTAGAGGTCTCTCTGTATTAAGCAGTAGTATATTGTCAGTGTCTCATAGTTTGTGGCTGTTTCTTCTTTATCTCAGGATCATGGCGGCTCCATTGTTAACATTTCTGCCACACTGGGATACAGAGGTCAGGCTCTCCAGGTGCATGCTGGGTCAGCGAAGGCGGCAAATGGTTAGTGTCATTTTGCTTGATGTTCTGACATAATTTTCTGTTTGTCTGCTTTATAAAGTTGTTTTTATAAACGTTAGAATATATAATAAGTATTTAATACGAGTAACAGTGTTAGAATGGCACTTGGAAAAAAAACATACACAAGACAACAATAGTGTGCAGATTAATAAATGTAATTAGTATGAAGACTGATGTTCCTCATTTGCAAATTGGACAGAAACATGGAATAAAACATATTACATTTGTGGTTTAAAGATCAGTATTTCCCCCTTTTATTTATTTATTTTTAATTCATATTGCTGGTCCTTTTGTGAACAATTTATACATGCATATACATTTTGAACACATTTTTGACCCCATAATGTTGGATAAAATTTCTTTTTCAAGTTGACTGTGAGGATAACAGATGTTCTGTAGACTGAAAAGACCAATTTGGCACAATGATGAAAGTTAGTTAACTTAAAAAAAAAAAAAAAAAAGGTTCTAAAATATAAAAATAATACTTTTGTTATTTAATTTATTATTGCAGGTTTGCATCATTCTGTGTTTGCATTTCACTGTTTTAACTTGTTTTTAGAAATACTGAATCTGTTTTTGTGCAAGTGAGATGAGTAAATGCATGTTCACGTTTAGTGTAGAACTACAGTAAGCATCATGTTTACACAGCACACACAACGCCTCTGTACTTCTCTTAACGTGGGGACAGGAGAGCTGTCAGTCATTAAATGGGAGAACAAAGTAATTTTTCGAAAACTTAAAAGTAATGCCATATTTTAATAGTTACTTGAAAAAATCTAATTTGCTTATGTCACTCGCGTTACTTGTAATGCGGTGCCCAACAGTGTTCACTAATAATAATAAAAAACATTATTAAAGGACCATGCAACCACATTGGTGTTCTCTGAAATGCCTTTGAGTGATGTAAATAACATATATGAGTGCTAATCATTCTAATGCTGTCAGTACTTTTTTGAAGTCTCAGGAAACATGAAAAAAAATTCTCAGAGCATTTTTTACATAAAATTTCTTTTTCAAGTTGACTGAACAGATAACAGATGTTCTGTAGACTGAAAAGACCAATTTGGCACAATGATGAAAGTTAGTTAACTTAAAAAAAAAAAAAAAAAAAGGTTCTAAAATATAAAAATAATAATATATATAAATATATTCAATATAACAAAAACTTAAACTTATTTTGTTTCTGATTCAACATTTCTTATGATCATTTACTTTAATTTGAAAAACTAAAATACAAAAAACAAACAAACAAAAAAAAACAACTAAATAGACATCAAATAAAAAAACTAATAAAATGACAAAAACAAACAACAAAACTACAAAAAAAAGTGAGAACAAAATATATATTAAAATTCTAAATAAAATACAAAACTATTAATTATACTAAAATAATTCTGCGATAAAATAAGGACTAATTATCTGCATATGTATATGTGTTTGTAGATGCCATGACAAGGCATTTGGCGGTTGAGTGGGGCCCCGGTGGTGTGAGGGTGAATACAGTGGCTCCAGGCCCCATCTCTGGCACAGAGGGTTACCGTAGACTGGGTAAGACAGTTGTGTGTGTGTAGCCTCATTCTAGTGTCAATATACCTTTTTTTTCTCAATATCACTATGGTTTTTCAGGTGGTTCACATTCCGAGTCAGCGGGGGTTTTCCGCAGCATCCCGCTGCAAAGAGCCGGCAATAAGACGGAGATCGCACATGCAGTTCTTTTCCTGGCCAGTCGCGCGGCTTCATACGTCACCGGCGCTATACTGGTCGCAGACGGAGGGGCGTGGCTTACCTCAGCCAATGACGTGGAACGGCTGCTGGGTATTGTCTCATCTCGCTCTGCAAAACTATGAACAGACCGCACCGAACGCAGGTGTGTGTGCCTGTGCTAGAAGACAGGTGTTTGCTAGTTATATAGGACTGAACTGATTAACATAAATCAATAATTATAATAATTATTCAAATGCTCAAACACACTTATGAGAAATCTATTTATTTATTTTTTTTAAATTCTGTGATCTTGTGAGCAAAACAATCATTTTTTGTACTACTGTATGATTGACCTGTGAATATGTGGGTAATGTTTTGGTATATAAAATCTCATTCTAACTTTGTTTCTCTTATGTTTCTAGGTTTTTGGTCTGCAGAGAAAAGAAAGCATAAATAGCATGAATCTAGAAGATGAAATCAACAGCAATGGACCAGTTGTCGTGCCAACATCTGTATGATAATTGTTGAATATTACAAAAACGTCCATATTATTTTTCACCCCAAAATTAAAGAAAACAAATAAGAAATTATATTCTGTGTTAAGAAAATTAAGCCTAATTTTAGGACTTTTAGAATGAAACATTCCACCCAAATTCTAATTTTCATAATGCTGTTGCTTAGTTGTAAATTCTCATTCTTTTCATTGGATTTCCAGCATAAATTAACATCAGTACAAAGAACAAGTTCCAATTTTAATCATATACATGTTTTCCTACTTTATGATAATGAGTTTCTTTTGTCTCATTACAGGAATGACTGCATTTTTATGCAAATATATTTTCTAATTTTCTTCCTTTAATTTTGAGGTGAAATATGACAAACATGTTTTTGAATTTTATGAGTCACCTGGTAAGATATTTATAGACACACTTAAACTGTGTCTTCTCATTACATGAGTGTTATTGACATTTCAAGCATGTTTAACCACAACATGTATTAGTAATTATAATGTATTTACTTCTGGTAACAAATGACCACTTTAGCACTACATTAATAGCGTTTTTGAATTTTCAGTTAAAGTACATGTATACAATTTTAAACAAAAAATGATTGTGTTCTTATATACGTAACAGTTCTCATAATAAATCTTTTATCATTCTTGTGTTACCTTTTCCGGGGGTATGTTGTTAGCTGTAATATCTTTGATCGTACACATGGGGGCGCAAGAAAATCACAGGAAATAACTGAAAATAACACCGTTTGGTTAACAAATCAGCATTTCTTCCAAGTAAACGTTATCTACTCTAATTCTGGCAAACTGTCTCGATTATGTTAACCACTATTTTCACCTCTAGCAGTTTTCCATTGCAAACGATGGCATAATAGCCGTCAGTTAAATGATTCGCGGGAATGTGACATTCAAAAAAATACCGTTATAAATCTGCGTTCCATCATCACCATCGCAACCAAACGCACAGATAACCGCGCGAGGAATGATTCTTGAACGCCTGTGGTTTAAAGGGGCAGACTGCGGCGCTGCGCATGCGTGTTGCTGACGTCGGTTTGTGTGTGTGTGAGTGAAACAGCAGAGGTTGTGTATTGCTGCTGATGAGAGAGAGAGAGATAGATATAACTAAAACATCATCCGTCGACTAAAAAACAGGACCTCTCATCTTAAACTTTGGATTTCAGGTTAACGGATAAATCGCCGCCGAAGGATTAAAATGAAAGGGATTCGCGCTTTATTGTGGGATTATCGGTGGTCTCGAGCTGATTTGATCCCGCTAACAGGCTAATAACAAGCGCAGGTGGATGACTCGCGAGACTCGACCTGGATGTTGGCCTGTTTTTAAGAGATAAACTGAGGAATAAAACGCCTAGCATCAAACCAAATTAAGGATTTAAATCAACTCTGACGGGAACCAGAAACATATCACGGGTCTTCTTTTATTTCGAACTGGAAAATCAAATGAGCGGGGGTCGTATGGGCCAGCTAACGGGTTTAACTTACCTCAGATGTGGAGGATGCTGATGCTAACCGCGCTAGCACAATCTATCATTTAAGGGATTTTGTTTTTAGTCATAACAAAATGACAGCTGTTTAGAACATAGTCTGTTGTGCTTAACCTATAAAATATGTAAAGCTTTATTCTCTCAGACAGCGAGACAATCTGGGTGTAATGATTGAATACACTGCCTCGTGTTTATATATCTTTATGTCTTTAATAATTACTAGTTAAACCAGGGAAGTGTCAAGCCTGTAATAAATGTACCATTAATGTGAACTTCTAATGAGTTGCTAATGAGGCAGGCACAGTTTTTTAACACTAGGAAGTTGGGGGTTATGAATTAACTCAAATGGAATTTGGATATAAAGTCAAATTGCAGTGATATAGCTTTCTATTTTATGTAATTTCATGTATTCTCATACATATATAGATTCTAAAATTGTATTTTTCATAAAGAATTTCTGAGTTTTTTTTATGAGTAGTAATCTTAAGCAGTGAGGTAATGCTGTTATTATGTGTTGATTAGGATGTGGATCAGCATGTTTTGAGAAGTTTTATGTTAAATGGATTAGATGTGACTTTGAATGCGGAACAGGGAAAGGGCCAACATTTATTTTTTTCATGGAGAGATTTGCATATCGGAAAAAATATCTCAGCCCATATGAGCTGTATTATGGCAGTGAAACATTATCCCTGTGTCCACAAAAGTAAACAGTAGTTGATCATTTACAGGGAGGTGGACGCTTACGCATGGGTCTCGACAAGGATATTTCTTTTGGTGCGTATGCTGGAAGAGGCCACCAACTGCTTTTGAATTCCGAACATTATTACCTTGTGGAATCGTAAAGGATTAGAATTTCTGGAATATTTCCATTGTCAGAGGAGAGAAATCTTCTTTTCAATGGAGCAAGTTCTCTCCAGCCCTCAGGGGTGTTCTGAGTGGGAGGTGAGCGGGAAAGCGGAGTGGGAATCCGAGCAGAATCCCCTCGGATTTCTCCTTATGGATAAAGATAACAGTTCTGTTGGTGAGTCTACTAATGAAATTTTTCAGGAAAATGCCATAAACCTAGATGACCTCTTTTGGTCCTCTCAGTATTCTGGGCAGACGTATTCCTGGGAAAATGGTTTGGAATGTGTCTATCCCGAATGGAAGACTCCGCCTCATCCTTCCCAAGATCTCAAAGGAGAGGGTTCTCCTGGAGGTTCTGAAATTGTTGATGGAGATCTCATCTGTTTTAATTCTAGATCTACTAGTCCTACGCTCTCAAACATACCTGTGCAGAACCAAAACAACTTTTATGACCTTCCTGAACAGGTGCCTGATTTCCTGCAACCTGTGGAGGTTACTGCCACTTCAAACTCTCTAGATGTGTACACAATTCAGTCCGACAAAACAATACTACAAGAAACTCACCTCCTTGAGGACACACTTTTAACAAACTGTGAATTCAGCCATAATTCCTTAGAGGAAAGAACATTTGTGAACAACGGCAGTCAGTGCTTCCTTCCACACGGGATTCATCTCACTCTGGAATCTGAAGGTTTGTTGCCCGTTTCTCCTGTGGAGTTGTCATGTACAGATACGAACTCAAATCCCAAGCCTTCAGTTATTTGTCAGACACCTTTATCTACACCAGAACACATCTACCTCCCATCCTCAACCCTTTACTGTGAGGCCATCCCTCCAATGACCTGTACAGAACCAACTGTCCTGTCATTTCACGAGGGTAGTGCCCCCCTTCCAATGAATGAGATAGAGATGTTGTTACCTGGGCTGCTGGTTGGAGGTCTATACTCTGAACAGGAGAGTAGTAAGCCCTCAGCTAGTAACGAGACCCATGGCGATGATCTTCAGAGCCAAGAGACAACAGACGCTAACATAGAAAAAACACAACTATCTTCTGAAGCAGAGACTGTCTGTAGGACTCCATTAGGTGAGTCTTGCATATCACCTGAACTTTGTGAAGAAGTGTTGTGTGATTTATCCACAGAATGCACATTTGATGTACCATTGGAAACGGTTGGAGAAAAGATAGAGGAGGAGGTTGCATCCAATTCTACAACTGATAATGTTTTTTCTAAAGCAAAAACAGAACTCGCACCAATTGCTTTTGTTGATTTACAAGCAGAAGATCCTTTAACTGAAAGTCTACTTGTCAAATATGAACATAAAGAGTCCACAACAGCCTTGCCAGTCAGCACATCTGAGCATAATGCCTTGATTGGCCTCTCGCCTGAAGATGACATCTTATCTGATGACCACAGCCAGCCCACACATTCAACTGAGGCTGAAGCCTTATCTGAGGTGCCATATGATGGAGATATTCCTGATTCCATGTTTGAGATCTTAACAGACAGCATCTCTTGTGAATCTGTGCCATCTTCAGACTCTGTCATTCCACCTGTGACAGATGCTGTTGAGCTAACAGAACAGGACAAATGTGATGCAAACTCACCCGATCTTAAATCTAATGCACTCACCTTTGAATTTCAGGATAATGTAACAAATGTAGAAACAGACAACGTAGACGGTGACCCTGAGGCTATGGAGACACAGCGAGCCGATGTTACACCCACAATAGGTAACACAGAAGACTCAGACACACTCAAAGTTTTAGAGAGCTCAGATTTGCATCAAAATCAGGAGGTAACCAATTCGCAAAGCAAGTCGGACAGTTTGGAAATTGTTAATTTAAACCTAGATAACAGTAAAGCTGGCAACAATCAAGAACTGAATGCAATGAGTGAAACCTGTCAGGAACAAGTCAGTGCTCAACAAAAAGAGAGCACGCTTGTGGAAAACCTCACACCTTTGGACCAACTGAATGACTCTTTGACTGCAAACTCAAGTGCAATTGTAATAGATACACCTGAAGAAAATGTAACCGCTCACAATTACGGTCACGATACACCGCCGAATGTTGAAGAGAAACTTTACAGTGTGTCTTTACAGGGAGGGGAGAGATCAGATTGCATTTTGTCTACTCAGAATCAAGTCATACCTCATTGTGCAAGTAATCCTGATTCTTTAGAGTCCACTCCCTTCACCTGTGCAGGTGATCAGCTGACCGTGACGGGTGGACTTGTGGGGCCGGATCTTACAGAGACTCCCAGCCAATTGCGTGAAGCTACAGGAGAGGGAGAGGCGGAGTTTCCTGCTCAGCTTACACATCAGGAGGATTTCCATCAGCTGACACCATCACAGATAGACCTGGCACAAGAGCAACAAGTGAGCTCAATAGCCCCCAGCTCTCCTCCCTCCCACAGAAATGTCTTTCCCTGTGGAGCCAGCCTGGATGGGGAGGCCTACCTGACCTTGATGGAGAATAATCCTGATGCTCCCAACATTCCCAAACATGCAGAAATGACTCTGGATCTGTGCAAGGCCTCAGATGCCGTGCCGACCAAATCGCTCCATGACCAGAGGGTCCCCGTGGATTTGATAAACGTGCCTATAGTTTCCGCAACAGCATATAAAAGCGAGGAGCAGTCGGCTCTCCGAGCGGTTTTCCAGGCTTTGGATCAGGACGGGGATGGATTTGTTCATATTGAGGAGTTCATCGAGTTTGCAAAAGCATATGGAGCCGAACAGGTCAGTTTTTGGCATATCCTTGTCTATTTGTGTGAGTTTGTGGTGGCTAAATGTTATAAAAATGCTTTATGATTACAGGACAGTGTGTGTCTTCATTTGGTTCCCAAAGCTCAAAGTGAAACTTGATCATGGTGACACCCAAGAACTGCTCTTTTATTATTCAAACCCTCAAAGACTCAGAATACCATTCTTGTCCTCTCTGTCTTTCATGGCGTCTTTTCATTTTTAGCTATCATTTGTTTTGCATCAGTTTTAACAAACTATGCAAGTAGTATTTAATTACCTAGTAACTTGTAGTAATTTCTGTATCTTAACTTGAACATCAACAGTTTAAAGGAATATTCCAGGTTCAATACAATTCAAGATATTTTTGACTTGTCCAAAAAACAATTGGGGTTGCTGTGAGACGTTTACAATGAAAATGAACGGGGACAATTTTTTTTTTAAAAACTACTTGCATTAGGTCTTCTGTTATAAGTTTTGTTTGATTTTAGCTTCCAAGCCTTTTAAATCATCCTTTTTACAGCTGTTTTAGGGCATTGCATTGTCATGGTGACAAAGTTGTAAAATAACTTTGCATAGAAATGGTTAGTAGGACTTTTTTACACTAAAATCATGTTGAAACTCGTTTTTTGTGGCTATATTATTGAAATAGGCTACTACTGAATTCCATTGAATCCAGATTTTTGCTTATTTTAAAGAAAAAGAGGGACAAGTAGTAATTCATTTTTGTTGTAATCAACATTGTCACATGTTCTGTTAATTTGAGCTTAATTTGTACTAGAACAGGAATATTCCTGGTAGTAAAGTAAAAAAAATAAAACAGTTAATGTAAGAATGGATGTTTGTTTTTGTAATGCATGTGAGTTCATTTAACAAAATATGGTCCTCTGTATTGCTTGATGAGCGTTAATGATGTTGAACTAGTGTTTATAGGTTTTTCTGTTATGTATTTGGCAGGTCAGTACACAAGTGATGCTAGATGTTCAGAAGGAGGATGTATTTATTTCCAATTAGCTTTTGAGACAGTTGAGCACTGGATGTGCCGATTTCAAAATCCCTCTGTGTTTATTTTGCCATTCAGATGAGAATATAGATTTGCGTTCCTGTTAACTCCTGATCCCCCAGACACGTGCCATTGTGTGTTTAAGAGAGGATGGATTTGATGCCGGAAGTCTGGCTCTTTTGTGACTGTTAAAACTGCTGATCCGATCAGCTGAAAGGTTAAACGGACAGATGAACGATAGAGAGGGGTGCATGGACAAATGAACTCTTGTATTTGTCTTTTCATCATTGCTAGTCATCTTTTCTTAAATGCACTTGAAGTGTATACATATGACTTCTTTTTGCATTTGTCTTTGAGTTTCTTAATTTTGCAGTGAGCTTGTGACAGGTTTAAACTTTAACCGCCCTGTTATGAGAAAAGCATCACATATTTGCAACACTAAGCAAGTTTGTGTGTTCTTTATAAGGTAGTTTATGGTTTCGGGGTGAAATTGCAAACCATACACCGTCTCAGCCTCGAGGGTCATTCCGTTGTCTGCGTGACTGTGATTGGACTCAAATTTGCACAGGTTTCTTCTCGTGATACAAGTGTACAGTATTAGAGCTTGCTCAGCTGGTTGGCTCACTGAGATGGTTTATGACTAAAAGGGTGGAGAGAAATAAACTTGATGAAGAATCAGGGAGACAGAAAGTGATATGATGTAAAAAGAAATGCTGAGTTTGTGTGTGGATATTTGTATTAGTCTCCGATATGTTTTCAGGACACACTGGAGAGATATTGTGTCTGTGTGCATTTGTTTTTAATTATGATGTTGTTTCCATGTCTTTTTTTATCTGTATGATACGGTTGCTATGGGATTGTGTGACGTTAAATGCAAATTCTTACCCAGAAGTAGCGTTTTCCAGGAAGGAACTGGTAATTAGCATCAGGTAACAGAGCAAACTGTCCATGTGTGTGGCTCTGAGAAAGCTGCTACTGTGCATTTTAAAATGTAAATGTAAATAAGAATAAAGAATAATTTCTCTGTATGGAGTTAATTAGCTTTTGGAGACCTAAAAACTCAGTGTGTTTAACAAGATCAATGGCCTGAGGTTATTTCTGCTTTAATCGGCAGATGTTATTAATGTGATTCAGTCAGTCACAGGTTTTTTGATGTGTGAAATCAAAGTGACGCCACTCATGTGACTGATTTGTGATTCGCCAGTTTTCACACTTTGACTTGTGATGATTTTATATACAGGGGTGAAACAGCTCCGTGCCTGACCCACATTACATAAAGCAGTCATTTGATTAATTAATAAAATACCAGGAATAATAACCTTTAAATGGTTGCTTATCTGACAGAAATGTTTTGATAAACAACTTGTGTATTATACAGTTAACTTATTTTAGTATTTTATGTACTATTATATTTTTTATTTATATTTTGAATTGACTTTTTTTAATATTTTCAGTTTTCGTTTTAATTTAATTTAAGTTTTGGTACATTTATTTATTTTCAGATATTAGTATTTAGTTGATTTTTATTTCAGTTTAGTTTTTATTTATTTATTGTATTATAATTTATATTTCAACTTCATTTCAATTAAAAAACGTTTTAGTAGTTTTATTTTTGTATTAGTTAGCAATAATAACCCTGTTTCCTACAGTATTTTAAGTGCCAATTCCCTGTAGTTTTTTACTCACCCTCATGTCATTCGGAACCTGTATGAGTTCCTTTCTTTTGTTAAAGGTCCCATGACATGCTGCTTTTTAGATGCTTTTATATAGGCCTAAGTGGTCCCTAGTACTGTATCTGAAGTCTCTTTCCCGAAATTCAGCCTTGGTGCAGAATTTCAGCCACTACGAGCCAGTCCCACAATGAGCTTTCCTTAGGACGTGCCATTTCTGTGTCTGTAGCTTTAAATGCTAATGAGGAGGAGAGAGGCGGGGCAACTGCCATGCTTCGCTCGTTTGCAAGCCATGATGTCTCTCGAGGAAAAAAAATATTGCGCTTGCCTCGCAAGGTAGTAGCTCATTTTCTCATGGGCGGGCCAAATTCTCTGGGAGGGCAAAGCAGAGAAAGGGGAGGTAACCTTTCCCCGTATGACGACATAAAGGGAAGATTCCAGATTGGGCCATCTGAGCTGCCATTTCTAGCCACTGGGGGACCATAGGCAGGCTAGGGGAACTCATATTAATGTTAAAAAACCTCATAAAGTGAAATTTTCATGCCATGGGACCTTTAAGCACAAATAAAGATATTTTGAAGAATGATGGTAATGAAGCAATTGACGGTAGCCATTGACTTACATTGTATTTTTTTCTCTGTGTAAATTAATGCCTTTAAGGACTAAAATATCACACACACAAACAGAGTTTAATGTTTAGGCAACCATTTGATGTTTTGATCTCTCGGTTGGAGGTATTTGGATATCAGTTCTGCTGTTGCCTGGTTACCAACTGTGTGTAATTGTGTCTGTTCACTGGAGTGTAACTTTACTTTGTGTGTGTGTGTTTGTGTGTGTGTGTGTGAGTGAGAGAGAGAGAGAGAGAGAATGTGTGTTTTACCTGCATATATCAGGGATGGACAGACTTTTGTCTGTGTTTTGTCTATTCTTGAGTTACAAATAAGTATATATAATGTTTTGTTCCTAAATACAAGATAACAGATTGGAAAAATACTAAAATTAACCCATGTCATTTTTGACTCCCTTACTGTCAATTTTTGATTATGTAATTTGTGCAGGAGAATTTAACATCTTTACATATGTGTAAATAATATTACATTTCTTTCCTCCTCTTTTCATTTTTTCCTTTTTGTGGAAGAATCCGTTCATGTTTGTTTGTTTTGGTGTCATTAAATGTATGAAAATGTAGTCCATGATGCGTAAGTTTGTGTAAAATTAATAGTTTGTGTTTTTTCATGTTTGTTGAGTGCTGTGTGTTTGTGGTTTCAGGTGAAGGATCTGACACGGTTCTTGGATCCCAGCGGTCTGGGTGTGATCAGTTTTGAGGATTTCCACAGAGGCATCAGCGCAATCAGCAATGAAGGTGCAGCAGCAGCACAGACAAACACACTCATGGCATGCTTTAAATCATGTGGGGAGTTTCCGTTAACATATGTTGCTCTTAATTAGAGATTAATTATATTACAGACTATCCCAAACCTTTTGTCAATTTCAGAAAAGAATAAAAATATATATATTTTTGTTGTTGTTGTTTTTTTTCTTCAATAGGAGTTTTTTCAGGTTTGGCTAGGAAATTCATCATCAGTTTTGTCCTCAAAATAATAGCCAAGTCAGAAACACAAACATTTCACAATGACTGCGTGATAATCTGATTCTGTTTAGTAAGGATTTTCCTGATGGAGAGTTCACATCTCCTGAAATACGGTGTAGAAAAACAAAGTGCAAAATAATGAGTCATAGCGTCTGTGAATTACTCACAGTGAATCACACCGCTGAAATAGGAAATATGAGTTTCTTTTAAAGAAAAGAGTCTCATTTAGAAGAGCTTTTTCTTGCCACACAGGAGCATTAACATGACTGATATAATTAGATTTATAACTACATTAAACATTCAAACTAAAGAAAAAGTGAATTCATAACTTGACAGAACCTGGTCGTAAATGCAGAGATGATGTGGCGAACACACATGATCATCTTCCAATGTCTGCTGCCATACTTAAACCTGGATTAGACACCTGCTAGACACACATGCTTTACATATTTCAATCTGTACTCTTAAGGCTACGTCCACACGAAGCCAGAGCTTTCCCTATCCGATCTTTTTTTTCCCCTCGTCTCAAGAAATATCTGCGTCCACACGAAACCACAAAACCGACACAAAACGATGTAGTATACATGCCAGACCAGTATGTGGCGCTGTAATTCTGCCACAGAGATACACTAAAAATGGAGAAGAAGACTTGGACTATGCGCATAAACCTTGCGCGCGGGGTACAAACGAACATGGAACAATACATTTATTAATCTGTGTTAATGTTAGTTAATAACACTCTGGGACCCGGTTTCAAAAAATATCGGTTTCACTCTCCCAAAACGCCGGATCCGTGTGGACGAAACGCCTATACGATACAAAATGTATGCGTATACATCTAAACGCGTCTTCGTGTGGACGGGGCCTAAACCTTCAGGATAGTTATTCTGGGTTCTGTTATCATGGGCTGTTTAAAAACTTGGAAAACTCTCTTCCTAGGAAAGGAATAGTTTACCCCAAAATTTAAATGTGCTAAAATGTACTTGTCCACAGGCCATCCATGATGTAGATGAGTTTGTTTCTTCATCAGAGCACATTTGGAGAATTGTATCATTATATCACTTATTCGCCAATGGATCCTCTGCAGTGAATGGGTGCCGTCAGAATGAGAGTCCAAACAGCTGATAAAAACATCACAATAATCCACACGACTCCAGTCAGTTAACATCTCGTGAAGCAAAAAGCTGTGTGTTTGTATGTAAGAAACAAATTAAGATATTTTTAACTTCAAACCATTGCTTTTGGCTAAAATATGATTCCATAATCCATAATAATGCTTTCTGCAGTAAAATGTGGTCTCATCTGAATCAGAAGAGAAATATGCGCAGATACATTGGTGACAAGTGTCCAAAAGTCCAAAACGGATCTAAACGACTATATGGGTGTATTTTAATGTGAGAAGACACAGGGGATGGACTTTTTCACTGGAGGAAGCATTATAATGGATTATGGAGTTGTATTTTGGCCAGACTATTTATAGTTAAAACACCTTAATGATGGATTTGTTTCTTACAAACATGCACCTTTCGGCTTCACAAAACATTAATTGATGGATTGGAGTGGTGTGGATTATTGTGATGTTTTTATCATCTGTCTGGACTCTCATTCTGACGGCACCCATTCACTGCAGAAGATCCACTGGTGAGAGAGCGCTGTAATGCTACATTTCTCCAAATCTGTTCTGATGATGAAACAAACTCATCTACATCTTGAATGCCAAATGTTTACATGTGTTTATTTAGGTGAAAATGTGGTCTTTGTTGAGTGCTCAATCAATAGCCCGGTTGCTCAGCGCAATGTATTCCATGGTGACTGTTTACAAATGAAAAACAAAAGAGAATGTGAATGACATAAACTGCTGTGTCTCCAAAACACTCAATTACCATGTCCTAGTGATGTTGATCAACCCAATATATATAGAGATAGATAGATAGATAGATAGATATTAATCTAAACATGATAATATATTCTCTTTTAAATACAAGGCGTTTTTCTTTATCAGGATCTGATCCAGACCTCTACAAGACTCATCTCAGCGCAGTGGAAGCCAATGGACCTCCAGAGGAATATGACGAGGTATTACATGCCAACGTTGTGGTTATTGGGTCCATTTCTCTTCCCATCTTGTCAGGACAAACATAATAAATCAGCATTTCAGGACCCCATTATTGCAGAATCGTGGAATCCAGACCAGCACATTCCACAAATTCCCCAAAAGATTGAAAGACCACAGACGAGCTCAGAACATGAGAAACAGAGCATGTTCTTTTCTCTGCTACAGCACCTCCTGCTGGTTCATGTGTGTTCAGTTCGATCATTATTTACTAACTACATATTCAGTAGTGTGTCAGTAGGATCTATAATAATACTAGTTTACATTTACAAACATTATTTTTTCCATGGATTGTAATAATCCAGTGAGGTTTTTGTGTGCACAAGGAGTCTGACAACAGCCAGTCCTCCACACAGAGATCTGATCTCATCCAGTCCATCTGGAATAACATTAAGAAACAGAAAAAAATTAGACATACTAAATCCAGAAGAACTGTGGCAACGTCTCCAAGATACTTGAAGAAACCTACCTGCAAAGCTGCAGTACTGTGAAAAGTTTTAGGCACTTGTGTAAAAATGCTGTAAAGTGAGGGTGCTTTCAAAAATAATGTTAAAAAGGGATTTTATTTATCAGTTAACTTCTATTAACTAAATCAAATTAACTTTTGGTGTGACCACCCTTTGCATTTACACTTGCACTTAGTTTTGCAGGTAGGTTTCATGAAGCATCTTGGAGATGTTGCCACAGTTCTTCTGGATTTAGTCTGTCTCGGTTTGTTCTGTTTCTTCATGTCATTCCAGACAGACTGATAAGATCAGATCTCTGTGTGGAGCACTGGCTGTTATTAGAGTCCGTGTGCACATAAAAATCTCACTGGATTATTACAATTAATAGCAAAAGGAATGTTTGGAAATGTAAACTGATATCTCCTACTGACACTACAGCAGAAGATTGAAATATACAATCTTTATATATATATATATATATATATATATATATATAAAACGTATATGTACGCCTGCTTCGACCTTGATGTGATGCTAAGCACTCTTCCATTCAACCTTTTCTAGAAAAATTTATGTTGGCAGGTATTTTAGCGTACACACACTTTAATGTATATGTGTATATGTGTGCTTATGGCCCAGTCTATCCAAAGCTTTAATTATAATGAAGAGTTACATAACTCTTTAAAGTTATCTGCATTAATATATTGTGGCACTAAATTCATAAATTGCGATTACAGAAACATAAACTCTTTTCCAAACTGCAAATGTGGTTTATTATTCCTAGCAGTCTTTAGAATATTCATTTTGTAAATACAGAAATGTGAAATGTGCTGCTTGGGGGTCTTGTTTTTGCGATCTGATTTTCCCTTTCCTCAATTCTGTCTTCCCGTCAATTCTAATGAAACACACTCACACACACCTGTGTGTTTTCCTGTGGGTCATGAATCACCTCGTCCAGAGGAACAAACACACTTACACACACACATATGGTTGACAATGTTCTTCTGGATTTAGTCTGTCTCGGTTTGTTCTGTTTCTTCATGTCATTCCAGACAGACTGATGATGATCAGCTCAGATCTCTGTGTGGAGCACTGGCTGTTATTAGAGTCCGTGTGCACATAGAAATCTCACTGGATTATTACAACGTATGGCAAAAGGAATGTTTCTAAATGACACACACACACCTGTCATTCATCAGAACATATGATTGTCGCAGCACATGAATAAGTGTTTATCTGCGCGTTGGGTGTGAAGTGTTAATGATTTGCTACATGAGAACAGATCAAAATGAATAACATCAATAGTCTGTCTTAAAACCTAGTGGGCCGCCTACCTAGACAGCATTTTTGTCAATCATAGAAGCACTAAAAAATAATGTCTTAAGTAGGCAGTGCACTAGACTTCGAGTCACAGACACATAATGCATGCACACATTCTGTTTGGTGTGTTGAGAAGTTCTGTTGGCACGTGAGTGTAATGTTAATTAAAGGGGTGGGGTCAGGAACACAGACTCCGCCCATTCCTGGTCCTCATGCCCTTCAGACTTTGGTCCTCATTTTCCAAGGCAGCAGACTAGGAGTAATTTCTCTACAGGACGGGAAACAGTTGTTGTTAGTTTTGAGGTTAGTTAGTGAACCTGTTTTTCCCGTGTGACGGTACTCAAGTAGGAAGAATGGTTCTGGGAATGGCCTCTCCAGTTTTAAGAGCTCCTCACGGACTCACACAGGTATGTCAGGCTCTGAGATGCAGGTTTCCTGATGGAGTTTGTTGTTTTGGTTAGAACTTACTGACCGACTGAAGGTTTGAGGTTCCGTCTTGAACTTTTGTCAATAATTTGTGATGGTTATCATAGTATGTGAGATGTTAATCCAGTTTGTGTTTTTTAACGACTGTAAAGAAATTGAACAAAGAGTCTTACTTGTAACTTTTTTTAGTTGTTACATTTAAAAAAATGTTTAATATAGTTAAATAAAGGGGATAAAAAGGAAAAAAAATCAGTGGATCAAGGTGTATACATTGTCTTTATTTGTAGCTTTTTTTATTATTGGTTATTTTTTTCAAGAAAATGTATTACATAGCAGGCAAAGAAGAAAATAAACTGTAGAACAAGGGGCAAAAATTCTGTTTTTGTCTAACTTTTTTTTTATAAGAAAATGTTTTGCATAAAAAAAATGAGAGCAAAGGGAAAAATAAATTAGAAAAAGGAGTATAATTTTTGTTTTGTAACTTTATTTAATTAGGTTTTTTTTTTAAGAAAATGTTTTACGTAGTATTAAAAAGGAGAAAAACGGGGAGAAATAAACAGTAGAACAACAGGTATACATTCTGTGTATTATTTTTAACTTTTTTATTTTTTTTACAAAAATATTATACATAGTAAAAGAAATGCTTATGTAAAAATTGCTTATGTAAATAGCCGTATTAGACAAGATGCATCTTCAGTACATTTAAACTTGGCAATAAATAACAACAAAGCAACTGTTTCTCTTGTGAGGGTCTTTTAAAGTTTAAACCCTTGTTTTTGTGCAGTGGATGATTGACAGGTGAGTAGGCTGTTATCTGAAAAGCATCGGAACGGATTAGCATTTATCGCGTATGAATGCATCAGATCACACTGTTCCGTAAACATTCGTCACAAACCTTAATAACCTCCTGCCCATGTGATTGCATGTGAAATGGACAAAAACACTTTGCGAAATCTGCATTGAAATGTATAAACATTTCTCAACGAATTCTTCCAAAACCAAATGATATGAGCTGTTATACACATTCATTTTATAACTCTATGTTCTTACTGCATGTCAATTATTGATTCAGTTGTTTCTAGGAGAAACCTCTGAGATAAAGTTGATACTTGTAAAGTAAGCTAGTACACCTTTATGTCTCCAAAAGCAATAAAAGTTTTCTAATCAGTGTGTGTGTGTGTGTGTGTGTGTGTGTGTGTGTGTGTGTGTGTGTGTGTGTGTTTGCAGCAAGCGGAGGTCTCAGACAGCGCCTATCTCGGGTCGGAGAGCGCCTACAGTGAGTGCGAAACCTTCACGGACGAGGACACGACGGCTCTGGTCCATCCAGAACTCCATGAGGACGTGGAGACCGACAGCGGCATTGAAAACACACTCACTGATGGAGACGATCGCAACAGGTAACACACCAATGCACAGGTGTCAAATAACATGCCCAAAGACACTGGGTTCGTAAATCACCCAAACTCATGCCATAAATGTTGTTATTAAAGCAACAGCACACCCAGAAATTACAATCAGAAATTTACTCACTCTCAGACCATTCAAAATGTTGATGAGTTTATTTCTTCATCTTAACAGATTTGGTGAAATGTATAATTTCATCACTTGCTCACCAATGGATCCTCTGCAGTGAATGGGTGCCGTCAGAATGAGAATCCAAACAGCTGATAAAAACATCACAATAATCCACAAGTAATCCACACCACTCCAGTCCATTAATTAATTCTTGTCATGTGCAGCAAAAATACAAACCATTGCTTTTGGCCAATCCATAATATTGCTTTCTCCATTGAAAAAGTTGTCTTGTCTGAATCATGAGAGAAAAATGCACAGATCAAGCACGTTTACAAGTGAAAACAGTCCAAAGCAATTCAAAACAAATACGTTTGTGGATTGTGATGGACTTTTTTCACTGGAGGAAGCATTATTAAGGGTTATGGACTTTTGGCCAAAGGCAACAGTTAAAGCGACTTAATGATGATTTGTTTCTTAAATATGCAGTTTTTTGCTTCTCAAGATGTTAACTGATGGACTGGAGTGGTGTGGATTACTTGTGGATTATTGTGATGTTTTTATCATCTGTTTGGACTCTCATTCTGACGGCACCCATTCACTGGTGAGCAAGTGATGGAATGCTACATTTCTCCAAATCTGTTCAGAAACAAACTCATCTACATCTTGTATGGCCTGAGGTTTCAGCAAATGTATGATTTTGGGTGTACTATTCCTTTAACTAAAACTATTAAAAATCATTGCACTTATTTAAATAAAGCTGAAACTTAAAGGTGACATCATGAAAATCTGACTTTTCCAGGTTTTAAGTGCTATATTCAGGTCCCCGGTGCATCTACCAACCAAGGAAACGTGAAAAAGATTAACCCAGTAATTTTGTTTTGGTAAGCCTTTTTCTGCAAGCGTCTGAGAAAACGAGCACGTCTGATTTCGCTCCCTTGGTGACGTGGCAAAGGGATCTCATTATAATATTACCGCCCCTTAATCTGTAAGTTTCCAGCCATGGCACCGTTATTGTGTTTTCGCAAGCGACAACGGTGTGCCAGCTCTAATGCCATGGCGAAAGTTTGAGCAGAACATGCTAACTGTTCTGTCTTTGGCTGCACAGACGAGCACAGAACACTATTTACAGTCCCAGCCTCAGAGGAGACAAGAGAGCAGTGGATTTATTGATTAATTTAATGTATATTGCTGCTGCCACACAGATCTAAAATAAAC